ATCAATTTAAAGCGACAAAATTTGTGGTGTAAGCCTCCTGAAAAAAATTCCTAAAAATTTTTGCCTTTTTTAATTCGGTAACTCCCCCCCCCCCAAAGGGTGGCGTTGAAAAATTTTCTGCTCCTTAGGGGGGCGGCAGCTTCAAAAAGGTTGAGAATCACTGATCTAACCAGACCTGAAAGAGCAGTTTTGATTCACCAGGTAAAGACAATGCACAAATCTGAGTGTATCATAGCAAAACATGCTTGCAGACATTCATCCATTGTACCAAATGGAAAGATATGTTTATTGCAACACACTAAACCACAGCACCCAGACACATTCTGGTGGGATATACCTGCTTGAATGCTTGCAGAACTTCTGCTCGCTGACTGAAGTGTTTAAACAACAGTTGCAGGGCTCCTGAAAGCAAAGGTGGGTAATCGTGCATTATAAGATGAATGAGAACTCGCAAAAACGTCCTGCCCCCTTCATCATCTAGTTGCACAGCATTCTTTTCTTTTCTGCATAAAAAAGAAAATCTAGTGATAATAAAACATTCAACATTAAGCCTATTTACATGGAACATTTTGAAGAGAGTGTTCATTCAGACATGAGCTTCACTCAAAAGTTGAGGAGCAATCATCTGATCAGATTCTTGGAGACTTAGTCAGACTAATGGGAACAAAATGAGGAATAACAAAAAATCAGGAAGTCCATCTGTTTAATATGCTAGGCTCCACATTTGCCTAAAACTAAGAAGTCCGGCACTAGAACCCAGCATCTTATAGACTACAAGTCTCACCTATAATTGCAATTTCAGATTTCTTTCCTGAGCCTGTACAGTTAGTCAAAATAAGTTGCTGTTTTAGAGACTTCCTTACCCTGGGAAACTTGGAATCTAATCACCTGAGAAATTTTGCCTTTGAATGTTCTCAACTTTGCCTACTGACTAAGACCATACAATATGCCTTCATAACTTAGCAGGAACCTGAGAACAAATCTAATTCCACTGATATTATTTATGGGTAATTTGTGGATCTGAAAAAGAACGTAGTAGTGAATCTGCAGTGATCTCAAGCTGTATAACTTACTAGCAGGGATACCATAATTAGTGTGTAGTAAATGCATTATGACCATTCATTTAACGACTGTTCAAAGTTATGATGGTGCTGAAAAAAGTGACTTATGACCGGTCCTCCCACTTATGACCATCGCAGCATCTCTGCCAGTTACATGATCAAATTCAGGTGCTTGGCAACCAGCATGTATTTGTGATGGTTGCAGCATCCCATGGTCATGTGATTGCCATTTGCAACCTTCCCAGCTGGCTTCCAACAAGTAAAGTCAGTGGGGAAGCTGGATTCGCTTAACGACTGCATGATTTGCTTAACGACCATGGTAATTCATTTAAGACCATGGTGAAAAAGGTCATAAAATTGGGTGTGACTCAGCGACTGCATCGCTTAGTGACAGAAGTTCCAGTCCCAAACATGATCGTAAGTTGAGGACTACCTGTAGTGAGCCATCTTGAATGCTTTTGGTTAAGTAGAAACAATTGGGCTTCTAAGCTTGAACAAAGGTTATTAGAAGTTTGTAAAACATTCTGAAGATTAAAAATTCTGCTATAGAGAAATGGGAGTACATTGATAATATACTCCAGATACTGTCCAGAGAAAATATAAAGTTTAATTAAAAGTACTAGTTAGCTCGACAGAGCAAGACAATGGAAAGCAGTTGGTCAAGCAAAACATCAGATTGAAGGTTTGGGCTTACCTGCCAGCAAACATAGTTTCTGCTTCTGCAGCAATTTCATCTATATCAGGAACAGCTGCTACAATAGAAGATTGTGTAAAGTCAACACTACAAAACCCATCTTCTTTCCTAATTTTGTGCTAGAAAGAATTGATCAGCAGCAACTGGTATGACATGGAAAAGATTAATGATGCTTTGACATACTGCCCAAGGATGATAGCTCACTCACTGGTACTTTGGGCTTTTCATTGTGGCCAAACTAGGCCACACACAAGTAATGATGCATAAACTAAGCTGTACTGGTCCATAAGAAAAGTTCTACAATCCATAGTCAGGGTCCATCAAACCCAATGGCACAAACTGTGTGCAAGATCTGAACCTCAGATCCCTCCAGATCTTCAGATCAGGCAATCTGATCTTCAGATCAGGCAAGATGTAGCAAAAAAGAAGTGGAGGGAGGGAAAAAAACCACCTGATCTTGAAATCATGAGATGAAAAAGTTCATGAATAAAGGAACAAAACTCCTGACCTATCTAGGAGTTTTCCAGATAATGCTAACTTTCTCAAGGTTCTCTGCAATAAAAACATGCACGTGCTTCTTTTCAACACTTAGAACTTTTCCCCATTTTACCTAGGACGTGGTACAAACCTGCCCTGACAACTACAACTGTGCGGCACTTCACATTTGATTTCCAAAAGGGGTTTCAGGGCACATCCATAGCATCTACCTGCAACAGCAGCAATATTGTTTCCTAGAATTGCATGAACCCAGGAAAAGACTCCACTGCAGACATTTTTTTTAGAGATCAAATCTAAGTGCTCCATAGCTCTACTGGCAACATCTTTTTTTTTTTTCTACTGTGTCCCCATGACATTTTCTTTGTCTTGTCTCCAGCCCATGACGAAGACAGGCTTAAGCTGTCCTTAGCTATATCAGCATTTTGTATCAGGTTTTAGGCTAAGAAGGTGTGTGTGCAGATTTTTTCCCCTATTATTCATGTAACATCTGAGGATAATCTCAAGGTATGTAAAAATCTGTTAGGCTTTGTCAACCATGACTGAAATGCCTGCAGGAACTGGAAATAGAGCTAGTAAAGGCAGGATAGGAATCAGCAGTGGACAGGACACATTTTATGCCTTCAACCAACTCAAGAATGCACGGAGCATACTCCACCTTAGCAATGAAGAAAAGCCAGGAAGGGTTGCAAGATCCCATGTTTTTTGTCAAAATGACAAGAGCAGTGTTGTTCCACAAACTCTGCCCTTTTCATTCCTGCATGTGACATCATGATGCGTTGTACAAAAGGGGTGGACCTTGGATCACAACAGTGTGATGCTGCTTCTCCATCTGTTCTCCCTACAGATGCCTCGAAAAAGGCCCTAGTTTAAAAGAAATCATTGCTACTTTGATTTATTCTGCTTTACCTGAGGTGATCGTTGGTGAGTCGGGTGGAGATGCTGTGGAATTATCAACATTTTCATTGTTCTCCCCAAATTCCTTCTTGTAAATAGACAGCATGTAGGATATTCTGTAGTCAAGCCGAACGCTAAGAATAAACTGTATGACATAAACAGACTTTTGAGCCTCTTTTTCAGGAGCATGTGAAGATCATTTGTTTATGAAATTCAAGTTGCTACTATTGCATTAAAATATATTTAATAATGAAACAAAGCATTTATCATTTCAAAAATTAATCTTTTTAAACTCTTCATCTTTGAATGTTTGAAAAATAGTCCTTATTACAGGTAGTTCCCAGTTTAAGAACAAGTTCCGTTCCCAAGATCTGTCCTTAAGCTGAATTTGTATGTAAGCCAGAACAGTATTATTGTATAATTGTCAGGCCCAGCCCAAGGACGACGACGAAATGGTCCAGTTGAGTATAGTTCCTTTATTTGCTTACACCTCAAAGACAGAATTGTCAGCTTCATCCCAAAGAACTCCATGAGACGATGCAAATACAGTTCTGTTGCGTTTATTAGCTTCCACCTCAAGACAGAATCTCACCAGACTGACCCCAAGTTCCCAAGCCAGCCAGACACAACAAAGTGAATTCCTTAGGGAGGTGCCAGTCTCATCTTCTTGAACTTCCCACACTCCTGTTGGGGGCTAAGAACACGCTTATCTCCCTAAGCATGGCCTTCATAAGTCCATTCCATCACAGAATCTTGCCAAACTAAATCTATACTACAGCAACTAGTGGATATACCCTGGGAGATTCTGGGGCATGGCTGTCCTGAACCTCTTACTCTTCTCAGGCTCCCCCTGCGGACTATGTTGCTTCTTGCCTCCTCCCCACTCCTGGAATGCACCCCCTCCTTCCTGATACCCTTGATCTCCCACAACACTCTCCTCCTCATAGGTACATTCCTTCACACTAATACTGTATAAGTAGTATTGTGTAATGACTCGAACCATTGTGCATTTAACTTGAATCATTGTATACTTAACTCAAATTTTGCTACAGTAGACTCCGTTCTTAACTATGGATTGTCTGTAAACTGGCCGTTCTTAACCTGGAGACTACCTGTATTTCCAGTATTATTAATCAAAATGGTGTTAAGTCAAATCTTCTGTTGGGCAGTTTAAAAAACTGGGCATAGAATTCTAATTTTAATCCAAACTGATATCTGGAGAAATGACCCTCCCCTACATCTTCATATACTGTATGTTGCTTGGGATGAAACACAAGGCCACATGATTGGATTTAGTCTCTCCTTTTCACCTCTGTCTTGCATTTCATCATCTCCCCCATATTTGCTCCAGAAAAATCTCCCTAACTCTGCAAAGATCTTTAGAATCTTACGGGGGGGGGGGGGGGGG